TTTAATGAATTTCAGCGAGATACGGAAGTATCTTAGCTGGGAAGTACCTATAATACAAAAGGTTTTAAGACATTAAGCTTCAAAGGCTGAGGTTCCTTAATTAACTGATAATCTGCTACACGAGGGAATATAACACAGAATTATTACGGGAGGAACTCTCTAACAACGCAATTATTCGCGAATGGCTGAGCAAAATTAATCGATTATATTTTACGGGTCCAAAATTCGAATTGCAACAAAATTTTCCTGGCTGGTAGTTCATTTGGCAGCGGAAGCGGATGGAGGGAAATATATTTTCGCGAAATCCGCTCGAAATTTTGCAAAATCTTCGCCGACCTCTCGCGAAACCGTCTTCGAAAATCCCTCGACGTGGTACCGTTCAACAAAATGAAATATGGAAAATGCGCCGCGACATATTGCATAAATCTTGCTGCAGGGGAAATTCGATCGAAATTGCGTCGATCGTGCTCCACTTGTAAATTTATCCCACGGCAAACGCGTACGAAAACAACAACTCTCTGATAACGTTGACCCGACCACTGCTAAACTAAAACTGTACAATTTTCTGCCAAAACAAAACTTGGATTTCACGTAATCAAAGTAGAGATTGTAAATTTAATTCCATGTGTTTCTACGGTACAGTATCCGTAATTTTTAAAAACACGTTAACGTCTTGGAATTCGTTTTTTAAGTTCCACGATGAAAAATTCTGTCTTTATATGAGTGACGTGGACAGTCGAAGAAAAGGAGAAAAATAAACAACTAAAGCATCGAATTTTGTCAAGCATGGCGTCAATTAACTGATCTAATCGAGTCACCCGAAGGTAGGAGGGCCCAGACAGTCTGAAGGTAACCCGATAAGGGAATTCTCAAGGAAAAAAGAAAGCTAGGAAGTATCTCCGGCTGACACTTAACTTTCAAGAAGTCCCTGCTCTCTAAAATGATCAGTCCTCCCTTTGGCCAATAGCTGATGGCCTCAGTGCCTCGTCATGATTCCCTCTCGAGCCTCAGGCAACTTGCCAAGACCCGGTCGTCTGCGCTCGTCTCCTTTCGAGGCAGAAAATTCTGTCCAGAACGATTCGTATCACTTGTTACGTGGTGGCATGCGGACCACACCACGTGACAGTCGCAACTGCATCTCTCTGTGGGGTTGCACCAACCTTTGCAGACCGATTATGCAACGCCCAACACAACCAAATTCCCGCAAGCTTCGTGCAACTACTGTGTAGATCGTTATGATCGCGGTTTGATTCGTTCTAGCGATTTAAGAATGATCCGCCTTTATTCCCCTGCCATGCTGAAGTTGATTTAATTGGGCTGGAAAAGACTGAAACGAGTATCCAAGTTCCTAAATCAACGGAATTATTGGTAAATCAAGATTAATGGCTCGCTATGCTCGAAAATGAAACTATAGATCATGCCGGGTATAGAATGTAATTCCAGAAAGTGGGACAAGCTATAGGTAGATTCTAAACGAGGATAGAAAAAATTCATAGAGGAAAACGTTGAATTGCCCGCGCGGGACCATCCTTTGATGACATAATTTTTTTTTCGTTTGCCGCAACGGTGCAATATGCGCTCGCATTTCTTTTTTAAATTGAACTATGCATTTTTTTACATAAATCGATGAATCTCATTATTAAACAACGACCATTAGAAGTAAAAAACTTTACTAGATATTTCGTATCTCCTGTCGGGATATTACTCTATCCGTTTGAAGCCGTCATTAACGTTACAAACAGAGGCTTCAGAATATTCTCTCGTGGAATAATAATTACGGTTTTGCAACCGCGCTGTCACTCTTCGACCACGACTAATGACACGAATTTCTAGACTTTTCCCACTCATCGACCGAACCGTACAAGCCTCTGAAAGAGGAATGACAGCCGCTTTTATTCCCCGGTTCGACGTTGCGTTTATATTTCGTTCGCTCGTACGACCACTTACGTAAATCCACGTTCCGCGAAGTGTGCTTCTCCGAGCTTCCATATTTTATATTTTCGGGCAAGTCTGCGGGTAAACAGTTTAGAAATTGATGCCACTCTCGTACCTCCGACTACAATCGTTCTCGAAATTCTAAGGAAAAAGATAACAAAAATATTCTGCACAAAGAAAGGTAACTAAATTTCGTTTCTGTTGACACCTCCGAGTTAACAAAACACAGAAACACAAGCGGGGTAGATTTAATAGCAAGACGTTCGGGTTAACCACGCTTCTTATTCGCCTTATCTCGGAGTATTGGAGCAGAATTTCGTTAGCGTAATCGTATTTCAAGCATAAAATACTCCTATAGTCGTTGCTTCCTTAATATTGATTTATCATTAAGGAGCACAACGTGGTTTCTGATGGCGCATTATTCATTTGAATAATGAACTGTCAGTGACCTATATATTCCATCAATCGGAGGAATTTATGATCCCCTTCGAGCTTACGATATAAAACTGTCTACAGATAACCGTAAAATTGCAGAATAATAAATAAATGTTAAACTTAAACTCGTCAATGCGTATTATTTTTAATTTAGAAAAGACAATCAACGTTCAGTTAGTTATTGGAAAAACTTCCAAGTCCGCGACGCTGCGCGAAATTAATTCAGCAAATGGCATCTTTGTTTTCGCGAACAAACGCGGCCATAGAAACCGTAGAAAGTGAAGTTTCTGGAAATGTTCGAATAGTTCGGACAGTTTCTGCGAGTGTTCAAGGACTGAACTCCTTTCACGGATCTCCTGCTCGCGGTCGAAACGAATGGCGCGGCGGTAAATCAAAATTACTAATCCCAAAATAAATTGGAACGAAAGGAATTGAAAAATTTATGACATGCCCCGTAAAACCTCGAGAAAAAACTGCCTTCCCTACGTAAATCGACTTTTAACCTCAAACGTTGCGGCCCACCGGAAACCATAACTTCTTCTAAATGAAAGAAGCGTCGGTCAAAATTAATTCCAAATTAATATTGCAAGTTGAACAATTTTAATCATGTCAGATAGTAATAATTCCATTCATAATTTTCTTTCGAGATTAAATATCGATATAGAAGATTGAATATCGGTTCGAATCGTCGGATACGAGATAATTACATAGAATATTGCTATGCTCGAACAGCATATAATACAATTAATCGACATTCTTCCATTAGGTACATTGAACAAAGGAGGAGGATTATTATTCCTGTTTATTTAGTATTCTACAGCCCGGCAGAAAGTCTGATGAAATTATTTTCTCATCAGTAGATTAAATATCGATTTTTATCTGCTTGAATATTCAATGCGGCTCTCTGCGAATTGCATTTCGTAAATGCGATTCTCGAAGCTTGTCACGAGGTTTCCGACATCTTCAGCACTATTTCCTGCGTGCTATAAATATAATCATTGCGACCGTAAAAGATCACGCGTATATTTAATTGGAATTTCGAAAAAAGCGTTTACCATAGAGGATTCGAGCGTTGACCGATAGAAATATTTAATAAATAACGACCAGGAAATGAAAATGGTTGGAAACTAGGAGGCAAAAGTCCCTGCAACTCGACGAGGTTTCCGCCGCGCTAAGCAGAGCCCTCGCGTTCCGGAAAATGTTCCAGGCGCGAGTGGAAAATCGTGCTGTGGTAGGCGCGCGAAAAAAGAAAGATGTGACGATAATTGAGCAATCTTTGTGGCCCATCTGGAAATCGTGTTTTGACCCACAATTGGAACCCCCCGATCCGGAATATGACTGCTGCCCGTCAAAGGAAACTTAATTTCCGTTAAAAGCAACGAGTCCACCGCAACAAAACACCTATTCTCAGTTTTCGCCGTTGAAAAATTGCGTTTCATTGTGCTGTCTATTTTTCATCAACGAACCGTCATCCTTTGTTCGCGACAAACAATACAACGGTAACAATGTTTCCCGCGCGACTTGAAAAATCTCGAAACTTGAACTCTCCTCCTTTTTTTCCTTTTTTTCCCTCCCCTCCCACGGTCGACGCGTCGAGGCCGTTTAATTCGCGATCGCGACACGGCGTCGACGGAAAAACACGGAATTAATTCCGTGGCCGCGACCGCGGCGCTCATCAAGGCGTAATTCAATGATTGTTGAAAATGATGTTTGCCGTACGTAATGGCGCAAATCGATAGCTCGTATAAGCAGAGGGAAATTAACGTCGTGCCATCCGGTACACAGGACGTGTACCCGCTAGATACAGCCGGCATCGAAACCCTCAATTTGCGGGAATAGCCTGGACCTCTCCCAGCAAGGGACGATCCGCGCTGATCCATGATCCCTCGCTCGCTAATTACTGCCTACGTCAAATTCCCTCGATTGCAAACCGCTGCGTCGGACAACCGCAATAAAGATTTTGTCCCGATTAATCGGGATTTCAGGGTCTGGGAACCTTCGCTGGCCAGACCGCCTCTGTTCGAGATGGACGATACAACCGTTAAGGCCTGCAACATGCACTCCTGGCCACCGATACCGGGACCTGGCATCCTCCATGTTTTACAGATTTCAAATTTCTGCACGCTGCTTCGCCTTACAACTCGAGTGACATCGTGCATTTAACGGGTTATGCTATTTAAGGCTTTCGATTGCAAACTCCAGATCAATCGAGATCCTTCAATGGCTACCTCGCGCGGCCTGAGACAGAGACGTGACCCGCCATTTTGGAGACTTGGAATTTGTATGCTGCTCTGCTTTGAAACTCGGTTGGAACTCTGTATTTAATTGCAGGGCAACTCCAGGTGATGCTATTTAAGGATTCTGAGTGCGGACTCTATCCGAAGAATTGCTCCCAATTGCTAGTAATTTACTATCGGATAAATAGTAGATAATTCCACTCTTTTGAAAACGATTTCTACATTAGCATCTTGCGTTAGTTTTTCTAATCCTGACGAGCACGAATTTTCGTTGAGAACGTTAATCGGTCGAAGCAAATTCTCTGGTTTATCGATGAAGGAACCATCTATTTTCCAGCGCGGCCCGTTGGCGGCCAATTTTCTATCTCGGTGAGAAAAATATAAGATATTTACCGCTGATCCACGTGCCGTTGAAACTCTTAGGGGATAACGAGCCTGCGAGCCATTCTTCGAGGGAAATACCAGGTGCGCTTGGCGCTCTCGAGCCGGAGGAATCCGGGCTTCCGGTTAAAAGAACCGCCGCTGCGACGACCAAGCCGAGCACGACTACGACGACCAAGCCACCAGCCAGAAAACGCCGCCAGTTCCTCTGCTTTATCTTCGTCATCAGGTCCTGCAACAATCGAATCAAATCACGTTAAACACCGTCCGCTCTGGTCAAACGAAGCCACGGAATTAAACACCTTAATGGCCACTTTCCTGCTGGAAGCTACCTACCATTTTATAAATATTCAAGTTTCAGCTCCGCGTAGCTTCGTTCTTAAGCAAACATGCGAGTACCAATTTTATTAAACCACCCTACCTCAAAGACAGTATCCTCGTACGAAGGTTTAATGTTTGTCGGCACGCATGAATTTGTAATCGGAGGATCAAGTATTTGGAAATTTAAGAATTCGTTTTCCGCGTTTCTGGGAGAATTTTGAACGCGCTACGTTTCGAGATAACTCAGAACAACGAATGTTCTCTTTGGCTCGGAGATCACAAGCTTGTTCTAACCCCTAGCGTACCGCTTCCAGAAGGTTTTTGGACTCGGAATAACTGGCCCTCTCTTCGTTATCCAAGTCATAAAGGAACGAGCACGGGAGACCCGCCAGATTCTACTTGGCGTAAGGAAGTTTTCCCTTGAAGCCCTTTTGCTGCCAGAGTCTAATACAACTCCCACAGGGATCGGTCGCTACGACCTAATTTTCCCAAAACTTTAATTATTAATCTCTCGAAATAAATAATTCGTTGCTTAACAATTCCGATGAAAATAATTTCGACGAAGAACAACGCCAAATTAGAGAGGTATTCTTGCTCGGATGTTAAATATATATTAAAAATAAATGATATATTAATTTATTCGTTCCACGGTTCGAAGCCTAAAATGGGGAGGCGAAGAAGATACAAACGCGCTTCGTTCATCGATTAGGGGTGGATTCCTCCTTCTCCGGTAGCAGATTTTGAACTTGCATTCATTTTATCTGGAAATTAATTCCCAACTTCGCAAGTCTTCCATCCCCTGTAAATCAAAACTTCAGCGGCGATCTTATCAACTGCCATCCGCTGGCGGATATAGGAAACAGAAGAATCTGCCCAACTTTTTAACATTAAGATACTGAAACATCAGCTAGTTCATTACTTTATCGTTGATCTAATGGTACCTTTTTTTTGTATTAAATATATTGACTAAATCATGCTTTGGCGCTTTTATTTTGAACAACGAAAAGCTTCGGGTAGAAGACAGAAGAGATCTTTATGGACGAGAACAGAGATAGGCAGAGGTAATGAGGTAAATTGAGATTTTCCCGCCGATCGTACAATTCGTCGACGTTACGTTGTTTATCGTTTACGCGGGTGTGTCGATTTCTGCTTTGAAACCGACTTGGTCGACCGCTTCTATCAGAGACCCAACAATTCTCCCTCCTCCTCTTTCGTGTTTACTTTCGGAACCTTTTTAACGCGACGTTTAACTTCCCTGATGAGAACTTCATTCATGCATTTCCCAGGCTGTGGAAAGCGGTTGCCGGAATACAAAGGAGGCATTAAGCTCCGTTCATACGTACCAAACGACCGGTGACTTGCACGAGATTCAAAGGAAACCTGAACACTATCTGACTGCTAAGGTTAACCAATGGTGGACGCCATTACGGTTTTTCTACCCATAAAAAACTACATCGTTGCGTTCATCAACCATTTACCCTACAGACTAGCATGTTTTCGTTGTCTTTCTTCTCTTTTCATATTTTCTGGACTCAATTAATACAGTGTTTCCTAACTGGTGAAGATCAAAATATTACCCTGGTTCTTCGTGAATTTATTCAAATACTAGCAATTTCTATGGACTTGGGACTGTCAAATTATGAATGTAGAATCTATCGAAGAATTTTAAACGGACCTGGGGTTGGTGCTTCGTCAAATTCCCTCAGTCGCAGCAAGGAAAAGTCGCGAAAAAATTCGGGTGTTAGATCAACGATGCTCGATTTTCTTATACGAAGGTAAGGGACGCGAAGTTTTTCAGCGAGAAATGCTAATGCATTTAAAGAGTCAAGAGTCTCCGGCGTTGCACGTCGAAAGCAAAACTTTGTTTTAAAAACGGCCCGGCGCGGAAGACAAAGGGGCTAGACACATTTCACTACAATGGATGGTTATCCCGCGAAAGAGCAATTCTGGAATTCCAACAGCGATCCAACCGTACGTCAATGCAAATGCACGGAGTCTACAGACAATGTTTCGCTCCTCGCGATTGCAAGTTCGCCCCGGTTGCGTCGCAAATCGTTAATCGGATCCCAGCATCTGTTAGAACTTAACTCTTCGCGATACTAGACTTATGTAAAACAGTTTCGAGACAAAACTTGGAGCGGAGAATTTGTCCGCTAAATTATTCAAAGAAGCGCCGTAAAACCACGTTTCCAAACGCGTATCACTTTATACAAGATCAGAAATCAAACGCGAACGAAATTGGAGTTGCAAAAAATTTACGTAAAATCAATTTTTCAGTATTTCAAATGCAGCCATACGGATGCAAACATTACGGTTTCCTGTATTTCGCGGATGTACAAATAATCAAAAAAGTCTTTTAAAAAATGCTATTTTATTTACTTTCCCGAGCTGGACTGTTGATGGCCGAATATATTTTCTTGCAAGTTTTTAATAATTTTCGAACGAGAATATCGTGTATGAAATACGACTGCGTACCGGGCTTCCGATTGGACAGTTCCCTTATGGCATTCGTCGGGTCACGGCGTCGAAAAGTTAGGAGACTGCCTTCGAGCACCCTGAAAAGCTTGCTTTCCTTCGGATACTTTCATCCCTTCTCGTGATTTCTCACTTGCATTTTCCTTTCCTTTGCTTGGCTCGCGTGCACATCCAATTTTGATCCCATAAGCCTCCACTGCAGCTTCTCTGAATAACCAATCCCCCGACTGACCACGCCCCTTTCTCATTCCGCGCCGTTCGATCAACAGTAGAAAAAGGAAAACTTGGAATCCCGGAATTTCCTCCATTAAAAGGGAACAAATTTGACAGGTTTTGCAACCTCGTTTTCGTTGGCGTCTCGCGCCTTTCGTTAGAAAATAAACCGATATAAACTGCACCTCGCGTGGCAGACTCATTATCCCTTTATTCGCGGGGCGCACAAAAGATTCAAGTCGGCGTGTGACGCGTGTAAAATATTACGTTCGTGGCGATGGTGGGGTTTCCCGCTGGTCGTTAGCCAGGATCGCGCGTTGTGTAGGCAGCTTTAAGGCTTGCCACGCGCGATCAACTTTGAATGCGACGACGGCTCAAAGAGACTCGGCAGGAATAATCGCCCCGTTTAAAATCGTTCCGTTCGCGGGGCGTGGAAACTTAAACAAATATCGATTAGAACTCCGCGACGACGACGGTATCCGAAATGGTCGTCAAACAAGGAAGCACCAGCCCGTGGAAAGTTTTCAATTATCAGAGGAAACCGTCGAGAACCGATAAAACCTTGGGGCGTGTCGTCAGTAGGGGGCACGTATCTCCCCAACGATTACATTATATTCGAGCGGAATCGGGAAAATTTTTCCGAGACGAACACATCCCGAATAACTGGATAGAGAGAGCTACGTGGCCACGAGATTTCTGAAGATCGCGCCGTTTTATTGTACCTTTTATTACAACGTGGTTTCCGGCCCGGCGAGCACACCTAAGCGTCCGGCACAATTTCATTTTCGTTCGGTACTCGTAAATTCTCCTATGATCCTGGAGGCTTTCTTCTGGCCGGACCGCGACCTAAAAACTACTATCGTCCAACCGTCCGTATGATTCGTCGTATCGGATGAATGGTACGTCGACGGCCATGCTCCAGAGGATGATTTCGAACACTATTCTTTGGTAGAGATAAATGTGCTCTTAGGTACTCGAAGGATTAGACGGATTTCAGACACTTGGATACTCTGGTCCTCTCAGATACCAAGGTATCACGGTATTCAAATACCAGAATTATCCAGTGGGCAAGAATTGGGACTTTGTGGGCTCGAGTACCAGGATTCTGCAGTATTTAGGTGCCAAAATTATCCTAGTACTCAGCACTCAAGTACCAAGGTGCTCCAGTACCCGAATACCATGCTCCTTCAATATTTGAGTTATAGAATTCCCCATTATTCAACTACCAGGAATCTCCAGTACTCGAGTGCCAGTACTTTAAATTTAGTTCTTTAGAACGTTCTCAGTATTAAAGTTTGTTCAAGGTACTCTACACGATATTAATTCTATGAAAATTGTTATTAGCCAGTAAAGGTTCCTTAAAAGGTTTTTTAAGTGTTATGTTAAGGTCATCAGGAAAGTAACGGATAACGTGAGGCGACTAAAAGGATTAAAAGATTCCGCGACGCCGACTGTCTTGAACAATAGTCGCTTCCGTTCGATTCAGGGCAGTTCGTGCGTGACAGTCGCGACTGGAGGTGCAGTTTCCTCTCAAGATAAAGTTGTTCGATCTCCCACTGACCTTAATAGTCTGCGGTGGAAGACGTAATAAACATAAAATGTCACGTTCGGCAACTGGGTACATACTTTCGAACGACTGTGAGCGTTTCACGGTAGATTCAGGGATTGCGGTGAACGGAAACGCGGCATTAGGGAAACGCGATCCCAGGGATAATCCGTTGTTAAGAAAAAAGCTACCGACGACTATCCTTTTAAAGCCTGGCGAATGGATAACCACGCATGAACCTTGTGGACCTATCCTTACAGCCGCAATTGAGGATTCGCAAGGTACTCCGTGGAAGCGATAAGAAATATATGGGCGAGACGTGAGGTAATATCATGGCGAGTCTTATCGCGACCCTTGGATTCCATATTCTCGGCAAAGTAACAGCCCTGTGTGTCCTCAGCGGGGCAAGTTAAACGGCCCTCCGGCCGTTCCGAGTCTCTTTTATCAAAATTAAATTTGCCTCCCTATAGACACATCCGTTCCTCGGCGAAGAAGCAGGCTCGTCGCGGAATTTCATTTAACGAAATAATTATTTTCTGAAGGGAACTTCGTGCACGACCGGTGTTCCCCGCTCGTTGGAAAACTCGATCGGGCAGTATTTCACCCCGGTGTACAACTCGCAAATATTTGAGAAGAAGTTCGGAGCTATCGCCCCCGAAGCATCTCCGATAGTTTCA